TCTTGCATTTGTCACTGTGAAACTTCATTTTGTTAGTTTTGGCCCATCTCTCTAACCTGTCAAGATCGTTTTGAATTCTGCTCCTGTCTTCTGGAGTATTGGCTATCCCTCCCAATTTGGTGTCGTCTGCAAACTTGATGATCCTGCCTTCTAAGCCTTATCTAAGTCATTAATAAAGATGTTGAACAGGACCGGGCCCAGGACGGAACCCTGCGGCACTCCACTTGTCACTTCTTTCCAGGATGAAGAGGAAGCATTGGTGAGCACCCTCTGGGTTCGTCCATTTAACCAATTCCAGATCCACCTCACCGTAGTTTTGCCTAGCCCAATTGGACTAGTTTCCTTGCCAGAAGGTCATGGGGGACCTTGTCGAAGGCCTTACTGAAATCCAGGTACGCTACATCCACGGCATTCCCCGCATCTACCCAGCTTGTAACTCTATCGAAAAAAGAGATCAGATTAGTATGGCATGACTTGTTTTTGATAAATCCATGTTGACTATTAGCGATGACCGCATTTGTTTCTAAGTGTTTGCAGACCACTTCCTTAACAATCTTTTCCAGAATCTTGCCTGGTATCGACGTGAGGCTGACCGGACGGTAGTTGTTTGGGTCATCCTTTTTTCCCTTCTTGAAGATTGGGACCACATTGGCCCTCCTCCAATCTGCTGGAACTTCTCCCGTTCTCCAAAAACTCTCAAAGATGGTTGCCAATGGTTCCGAAATGACTTCCGCTAGTTCCTTCAATACTCTGGGGTGTAGTTGATCTGGCCCTGGGGACTTGAACTCATTAAGAGCGGCCAGGTATTCCTGGACGACTTCTTTCCCAATTAGGGGTTGGATGTCCTCCAATCCCTCATCCACTCCATCTTGCTGAGGTTGAAGACTCTCTTTTTGTGAGAAGACAGAGGCAAAGAAGGCATTAAGTAGTTCTGCCTTTTCCCTATCCCCTGTCAGCATTGCCCCATCTTCTCCTCGAAGAGGTCTTATCGCCTCCTTGTTTTTCCTTTTTCTACTGACATAAGAATAGAAGCCCTTTTTATTGTTTTTAATGTCCCTGGCAAGTCTGAGCTCGTTTTTTGCTTTAGCCTTGCGGACCTTTTCCCTACAGGTGTTGGCTATTTGTTTGAATTCTTCTTTGGTGATTTCTCCCTTTTTCCACTTCTTGTGCATGTCTCTTTTGTGTCTTAGCACAGTTAGAAGTTCTTTGGACATCCATTCTGGCTTCTTTGCACTTGTCCTATTTTTTCTCTTTGTTGGCACGGTTTGCAATTGCACCTTGAGTATTTCACTCTTGAGAAATTCCCATCCATCCATAACTCCCTTGTCTTTTAGTATCTGTGTCCACGGAATGCTGCTCAGCGTTTCCTTCATTTTTTGGAAATCAGCTCTCCTAAAGTCCAAAATGCGGGTTTGACTTGTCTTAGTTTCGGCTTTCCTTTGTACCTCAAATTGCAGGAGCACATGGTCACTTGCCCCTAAGGATCCTACCACTTCGACCGCATCGATCAGGTCCTCCGCATTTGTTAGGATGAGATCAAGAGTAGCCAATCCCCTTGTTGCCTCTTCTACCTTCTGGACCATGAAATTGTCTGCAAGGCAAGCGAGGAATTTGTTGGACCTTGTACTCTTGGCCGAGTTTGTTTCCAGCAAATATCGGGATAGTTGAAATCGCCCATGACTACTACATCTCTTCTCTGTGCCTGTTTGGTCAACTGTTGGCAGAAGACTTCATCAAGTTCTTCCTCCTGGCTTGGGGGTCTGTAGTAGAGGCCTACAACGACATCTTTTTGAGTCCCAGTTCCCTTGATTCTTATCCAGATGATTTCAAGCTGGTTTCCCAGATTGCTGTCTTGAATCTCTTCTGCAGCATAAGAGTTTTTGACATATAAGGCTACTCCGCCTCCTCTCCCCTTTGTTCAGTTTCTGTGAAAGAGGTTATAGCCCTCGATATCTACATTCCAGCGATAGGAGTCATCCCACCAGGTTTCAGTGATCCCTATAATATCATAATTGTGGTGTTGTGCTAAAAGTTGGAGTTCGTCTTGTTTATTTCCCATGCTCTGTGCATTAGTGTAAAGACATGTGAGCCCCTGAGATCTTCCCTTGAGCTGTTTAATTGGGATTATTGTGCTTTTGGTACTTGGTCCTTGTTGTGTTTGTGCAGCCCTCCGTTTAGCCTTCTGGCGATTCCCAGACATTATGGGTAAAGTAGTGTTCGCAAGGCTGTTGTCCCCCTCCCCCGGTGGACCTAGTTTAAAGTGCGTCTTTCACACGTCTATAACCTCTTTCACAGAAACCGAATGAGCGCTCTTCCATTACTTGATCCAGGCAGCTTTCCATAATAACACTGCTGGATCTGGATGATGAAGCACTCATCAAAGGGCAGGAGCTGGAAGCTTTATGCTGAGCAAGCATTCGCCTGAGTCGCCGCACACTGTACTTAAGTGGATAGAACATTAGTGGGAAATTGCATTTGTGGATGGCCGTTCCTCAAATCCCCAGCCAGCAATGCTGAAATAAGATTCCTCTGCCAGCTTGGTTGGCTCCAAGCCATCAAAAGAATCCATGTTATCTCATTCTGGGAACTTTGTTTTTGCAAGACATCCTACAGCACATTTTGCTATATAATAATAATAATAATAATAATTATTATTATTATTATTATTATTATTATATCTGTATATTTATTATTCCTCATGCAAATTGTAAACCAGATGTTTGTAACTTGGGGACTGCCTGTATGTGTGTGTGCTCACCCATGTGTGAGTTGTAGTTCACCCTGCACCCAGAGAGCATTCCAAAGCCCCAATGGCGAATCTGGTACACACGTAACACACAAAACCCTGATGGTGAACAGAATATAATTTGTGTTTCGATTGTGATGCATTTTAGACTCCAACCTAGATGCACAAGTAGCATGACACTCTTTTCCGTTTTCTGTGTTTGCTAAAGGGCAAGTGACCATGGGGCAATACAGAATGCTTGCCAAGCAAGGGGTTCAGGATGTGTTTGGGCTGAGACTTGAGCAACTGTCACCTACAATACTAAGAATTCCCAGCCACAATGTATAGTTTGTGTGGATTGCGCCTTGAGATGAGCTGAGAGTGAACATTGGCTGTGGTTTAATGATACCCATTTGTCTCAAGTTTAGGTTCTTGTTTCCGTGTGCTATCTTTGCTACTATGTTTTGGTCAAAGGTAGCCGAATTTTCTTCAGTTTTAACAGAAGTATTGAAAGCCTATTGTGTCAAGAGGCTGATGCACATACACTTGTCATGGTTCAGGTTTTGTGATCCACTCCCAAATTATTTTTTTCAGATGTCTAGAAATGGGAATTCATTTGAAAATGGGAGAATTTGAATAAGGCCTTACTGTTTTCCCACTGGTTGTCTTTTAAAGTTTCAGTATATTGGGTTGCTGTGAGTTTTCCAGGCTTTCTGGCCATATTCCAGAAATATTCTCTTCTGACGTTTCACCCACATCTACGGCAGGCATCCTCAGAGGTTCAATGTCCTCTGGATAAGGGCGCACTGCAACTCCCAGATCCAAGGTCAATCACCCCCAATCCCCATGTTGGAACTGTGTCAATAAATTTCCTTTTGACTGTGTTAGCTACTCTACCAGTAACGACATGCAGTGTGGAAAGATCGTTTTCAACCATGAAGAGAGTGAAAGTGTATCTCGAAGTTTAATGACAGACCAGAGACTTAGTGGACTAGCAGTGATTTCCATCCATTGGGACATCACTATCAAACCAGAAAAAGTAATTGACAAAATAGCCGGGGAGAAGAAAAGAAGACTGTTGCTGTAAAGTAAAAAATAAGTCAAAGAGTATTCTAAACTTTTTGTGAATGAAAGTAAGTAAATAACATTTATTATTTAAACTATTACATTTATTCATACTTACTTACTTAGGCAATCTCTCGTTGTCCGAGGATGACGGTCCTCCAAGATCGGTGTCCTGGCGGTGGGTCCGTAGGTGACTGTGGAGCCCTATTCTTGATCTGCATCTTCTCCCACAGTGAGGGCATCGGTTTCCAGGTGGAAGGCAGTCCCGGTCGGGGTTGGCTTGACGTGCCTTCCTCTTGGAATGTTTCTCTCTTTTGCCCTCCATTTGTGCCTTCGCAAATTCTACAGCACTGCTGGTCACAGCTGACCTCCAACTGGAGCGCTCAAGGGCCAGGGCTTCCCAGTTCTCAGTGTCTATGCCAGAGTTTTTAAGATTAGGTTCTTGTAGGTTTTTTCGGGCTATAGGGCCATGTTCTAGAGGCATTTCTCCTGATGTTTTGCCTGCATCTATGGCAAGCATCCTCAGAGGTAGTGAGGTGTTTTTAAGATTGTCTTTGAGCCCATCTCTAAATCTCTTTTCCTGTCCTCCAACATTCTGTTTTCTGTTCTTGAGTTCGGAATAGAGCAACTGTTTTGGGAGATGGTGGTTGGAGCATCCAGACAACATAGCCAGTCCAGCGGAGTTGATGGCGGAAGACCATCGCTTCAATGCTGGTGGTCTTTGCTTCTTCCAGCATGCTGACATTTGTCCGCTTGTCTATTTTTACGTTTATTCATGTCATGATCTGATCGCCATGCTCAATATATCCCATAGGCATTGCATGATGGGGGTCTTGGGATAAGGATGCAAAAGGTTTGCTAGGGTAGATCCTCTCTCACTCAGACTCAGCTGGGCAGATTCATGTGCCAGATGCCAAGGTCCAGGGGGATTCCAGCCTGGAAGGATGTTCAAGGTGTGTTGCAAACCTTCCCGGTTGCTTTGGGGAGGGAGGGAGGGAGGAGAGGTCGGAAAGCTCTTCTGCGTCGCTTCCGCGAGGAAAGGGTTAAATCACGGGCCCCGCCCACCTTGCAAGAGAACTCCGCCTATGGTGCCCCCAAAGAAGGATCTCCTTTGAGCCTCGTCTCCGGCAGAAAGAGCGGCGAGGTGAGGCGAGCAAGGAGAGAAGAGCGAGCGAGCGAGCGAGCGAGGGAGGGAGCGAGGGAGCGAGCGAGGGAGGGAGCGAGGGAGCGCGCGGTCCTCCTCCTGCTTTTGCTCCTTCTTCTCCTTCTCCTCTTGGTCTCCTGGCGGGGATGATGGGCTGCAAGTCGCCCTCGCTGACCTGCCTGCAGGGCAAGCCCCCTCCCGCGGCGGCGCCGGGCTCCCCGCCGGCCACGGAGTCCACGGCCACGCTGCACAAGCTGGCCTTGGCCACCGGCGGCACCGAGAAGTCCTGGTACCGCTGCGTCTTCCCCTTCGGCATCGTCTCGCTGGTCATCGGCGTGGCCGCCACCTGCATCACCTTCTCCATCAACGGGCCGCGCATGGACATCGCCAAGGTGGTCTCGGTGGCCGCGCTGCTCTTCGGGCTGGCCCTCCTGGCCGCCGCCCTCCTCTGCTGGCGGGCCAAGCGGCGGAGGCAGAGGCAGAAGCAAGGCGAGGCGCCCCCGGGACAGCCCCAGCCCCCGCCCCAGCCAGGCGCCTTGTGAAGCAGCCGCCCCAACGGGCAGGCCCCGCGGGCAGCTCTCCGCCACGCTTCCCTGGAGGGAGGGAGGGAGGGAGGGAGGGAAGGAAGGAAGCAAGGAAGGAAGGAAGGGAGGGCCTTCTCCCGAGACCCCGAGAAGGCACACAAGCCGGAGCGCCCTTCCTCTGCACCCGGTCTCTGGCTTGTTCACCAAGTGCCCCCTCCGGCAACTTCCAGAAGAAGGGGAGGATGTGGCAACCCTAGACATACATCGCAGCCGGCGGGAAGGAAGAAAGACTGACATATGTATGTGTCGCATTCATGAAACAATAACCATCCTGGAGGGGTCTGTGGGCTCCAGGGCTTGCATCCAGGTGTCACCAAAAGTGCCCAAGATTGGAAAAGAGGGCTTTGTCGTTCCACCGACGCAAACAGTGTGAGTGAGCGAACCAACATGAACCAACATTTCGACCAACATGAACACTACAATCCTGTCCTGCGACTGGCGGGAACAAGAAGGTGCCATCGTTCAACCGCAACCAATGCTATGATCCTGTCCTGTGACTGGCAGCAATGAGAAAGTTCCGTCTTGCAACCAACAATCCTGTCCTACAAATGGTTCTACCATTCATCAAGAACGAATGCTGTGATCCTTTCCTGCGACTGGCAGGAACAAGAAGGTTCCATCTTTCAACCAGCACCAGTGTTATGTTCCTGTCCTAAAAATGGTCCTGCCATTCAGCAGGGACGAATGCTACGATCCTGTCCTGCAACTGGCGGGAATGAGAAGGTTCCGTCTTTCAACTGATACCAATGTTACAATTCCATCATACAACTGCCAGGAACAAGAAGGTTCTGTCTTTCAACCAGCACCAATTCTACAATTTTGTCCTGCAACTGCCAGGAACGAGAAGGTTTTGTCTTTCAACTGGCACCAATGCTACAATCCTGTCCTGCAACTGGTGGGAACAAGAAGGTTCTGTCTTTCAACCAACACCAATGCTACAATCCTGTCCCGTGACTGTCAGGAACGAGAAGAGTCCATCTTTCAACCAGCACCAATACTACAATCCTGTCCTGTGACTGGCGGGAATGAGAGTGTTCCGTCTTTCAACCAGCACCAGAGCTATGATCCTGTCCTACAAATGATTCTGCCATTCAATGAGCACGAATGCTGTGATCCTGTCCTGCAACTGGCATGAACCATAAGGTTCTGTCTTTTGACCAGCACGAATACCATGTTCCACCCCAATCAGTTGTTCAGTCTTTCAACTGGCAAGGTGAGCAACATGGCAAAACTCTCTCAAGTTGCAAGTTGGAGCAACAGTCGAGAACCAAACTCTCTTTCCCTCTTGACCTAGACCAGCTCCAAGCCGTGGCCAGGATTTTGAGAAGGAACGGAGGCCTCTCTCCATCAAGAGGACCTTCTTGCGCAGGAAAAAAGAGCATTAAAGCTGCAAAGAGACAAGGGGTATGAGAAGACCTGATGAGACGGAGAAGGGTTCGGCTGCAGTGGAAGCAGGCCCGCTGTGGGGAGTGTGGGGCGAGGGGCTTCTAGCTGAGAAAGGCAGTTGGCACAGGTTAGGAAAGACAAAGAGTGCCTCCTTTGTTCTTCAGGGCCAGCATAGCCAGAAAGGCAAGGACTGAGTCGGGCTACTGTTTCATGCAGGGCTGGCTCGAGTGTCGGGTCAAGTGCACATTCGCCATGTGATTTTTATTATTACTCTTATTTGCAAGCAAGCTATAGCACAGGAGCCTTCAAAACAGCAGGGTCTGTGGCATCCCTGGTTTCACGGTGCGGCTGTGGCTGCATCTCAAAAGGAGTGGCGCACAGTATGTCCATTTGGCATGGCCCCAATTGAGCTTGTCATCGAAGAAAGGAAGGAAATAGTGTATATATATATATTGGAGGCAGAGAGGGAAAGCAAACAGTTGGTGGAGTTCCTGGTTCCATCTTCCCTGGAAAAAGGACAGAGCCAGAACGAGGGATGTTGCGTTTTTTCCTGACTTCTCTGCCCTTTCTCACTTCACGGTCGCCCTTTCTCTTTGGTACTGCTTAAGAAACTAACAGGGTGGCCTCATTTTGCCTTTCAGGAGGCCATCTTTCCTTCTTTTGAGCTGGATCTGCCCAAAGCAGGCGCCTTGTGGTTGGAAAAACAGCTGCGCTCTTGGCTCCCCGACACCTGGAGCCCATCTCACAGACGCACATGCAACTGGAAAGGAAGGAGTGAAACCGGACTCTCAGTAATGATACATACATACACCTAGAAGCCGGAGACAGGCTGCAACAGGGAGGGGGAAGGAGAGGATAGGCACAGGGCACTGGTACGCACATCCCTGACATCTGGGCCATGCCTGGCCCAGATGCTGTGGACGGGGCAGGGCAAGCCTTACAGGCCAAAAGAGAGGCAGTTGGAAGGGCAGAGTGTCCCTCTGGGAAAGTCCAATGGTCACCTCTCACCCTCTGGGTCTGTGTCCCTCGAGAGGAGGGGCCCATGCCTGCTCTTTCCATACCGGAGGCAATGGCTAGTCTTATGCTTTGGCACATGTCCTTCTCTTTCGATAAGTGCTTCTCAAACTGTGGCTCCCAGCCCCAAATGCAACCCCTTTGGCTCAGTGTTGAGGTCCCGAAACATTTGGCAAGGAGAACACTTTTCTGAATCTCGCCCAGTTCCATTTTAGGAACAAATCCGTTGTGCTGTGTTTACAGGGGACTCCACCACTTTAGCAAGTCTTGCAAATGCTGATTTGTTATCAGTGAATGCCTGATTTTATACCTAGTTTATGTGCCTGTTGTCACAGAAAAAAATTGCAATATGTAACATTATTGTTATTATTATTATGCTTATTTCTATCCCACTTTTTCTCTCCATAAGGAGACATGATTTTTGTTCCTGGGTTATCAATGTCATTTCCTAATTGGTTCTATCAGGAGCCCCCGATGGCACAATGGGTTAAACCCTTGTGCCGGCAGGACTGAAGACCGACAGGTCAGAGGTTCAAATCTGAGGAGAGCATGGATGAGCTCCCTCTGTCAGCTCCAGCTCCCCATGCAGAGACATGAGAGAAGCCTCCCACAAGGATATTAAAACATCAAAATATCCAGGCACCCCCTGGGCAATGTCCTTGCAGACAGCCAATTATCTCACATCAGAAGCGACTTGCAGTTTCTTAAGTTGCTCCTGACATGAAAAAAATGGTTCTATCATAAAAACATGGAACAAGTTTATTAAACTGCAAAAACTTTTGTCTTTGCGGGAGGAACATCATCCTGCGAATTGGTTCTATCATAAAAACATGGTGAATGGGGCAGCAGCTTCACATGCTTGTGTTGGATTTTGGGTTTGTTCTTGTGAGGCATCCTGCTCCAGCACATTTTGCTCTAGTTTTTCCAAGGAATATCTCATAGAGTCTTAAGCGATTCAATGTTTCTGGAGTAGAACACAGACTTCCAAAGTAAGGGCCGCACTATTAAACAGGAAATAACACTTTCAAACCACGAATAGATTTTTCACCCTCAAATGTTGTTACATATTGTTGTCAGCTGAAATGGGCCACAAGTGGAAAAGTTCAAGAAGCCCTGATGTAGACTTATTCCCAAGTCAGCTGTCCTCAGAATTAAGGTGGCCTCCTTCAACAGCATTGAGTTGACATTTATGTAGCAAAAGGTGCAGAAATGTAGCATTTGTATACGAATACAAATATGCCTCGTATTCTTATAACAGCTTTGTAAGGGAGGTAAGACAGAATGTAAGTGTTGGAGTGGAGAAGGAATGTGAAGTTTTTTTCCTTTCTCCACCTACCTATAGCTAATATTCTAGCTTGGGCATGGGCAAACTTTGGCCCTCCCTCCAGGTGTTTTGGACTTCAACTCCCACAAGTCCTCACACCCTCTGGCCCCTTCCTTTTCTTCTCCTTTCCGCTTAAGCAGCTGAGGGGCAAAAAGAAAGGGCCTGAGGCTGTTAGGAATTGTGGGAGTTGAAGTCCAAAACACCTGGAGGGAGGGCCCAAGTTTGCCCATGCCTGCCTGCCTTGACCATAGGAATAATACTGCAAGATAGCAAAACCTTCCCTACCTTTTTAAACTATCTACTCCTCGCATGTATTGTCTCTATTAATGTAGCATAGCTTTTATTTCTTTCGTTTGCAAATCTTTTTTTCCCTGAACACTTGCTTACTCTACAGATTCTTCTAACACAATTTAACTCAAATTGGCAAAGGATAATATTTATTTATATATTTATATACTGCCTTTCTCACTCCCGGAAGGGGAGGGAATAGGACTCAAGGTGGTTTACAACATATTAATGGCAACAATTCCATGCCAACATACATGTAGAGAGAAAAAATCATTATAAATAAACACTAACATATAACTCTAAATTAAAATCATTAAAACCATTAAACATAAGACATAAACACATTTTTTTAATTTATCGTATCAGAAGCAAACCAAGGGTACAGCTGTAATGTATTTTTAAAAATATAATGTTTAAAGAACATTATACTAAATGTCCTTTGACCAGTAGCTGGCCACTTGGAGTGCCTCTGGTGTTGCATGTGGCAGGGCTCAGGTTGCATTGTAGTCAGTGGCCTGTGGTTTGCTCTTCTCCACCTTGCATGTTGTGGACTCCACTTTGTAGCTCCGTTTCTTAAGGTTGGCTCTGCATCTCGCGGTGCCAGAGCACGGTCTGTTCAGCGACCCCCAAGTTGCCCAGTCTTCTGTTTGCCCAGGGGGGAGTCTCTCATTTGGTGTCGGCCATGGATTGAGGTGCTGGGTTTTAGCCTGCCACTTTTGGACTCTTGCTTGCTGAGGTGTTCCTGTGAGTATCTCTGTAGATCTTAGAAAACTATTTCTTGATTTAAAGTGTTGATGTGCCAGTTGATACCCAAACGGAATGGGCTGGAGATGTCACTGCCTTGGTCCTTGGTCCTTACATAAAAAACATATAAACATTAAGACAAAACATTAAAAACATCCTAGTATAAATATCAAAATCACATGATCCAAAGATTGTACACTGT